ATAGAATAGAATAGAATAGAATAGAATAGAATAGAATAGAATAGAATTCTTTATTGGCCAAGTGTGGTTGGACACACAAAGTATTTGTCTTGGTGCAAATACTCTCAGTATACATCAAAGATAACATACATTCGTCAAGAATCATAAGGTACAACACTTAGAGATAGTTATAGGGTACAATAAGCAATCAAATCATACTAGGAAACAGTTGATATCAATCGTAAGGATACAAGCAACAAAGTTACATACAGTCACAAGTGGGAGGGGATGGGCGATAAGGAGTGATGAGAAGATTAATAGTAATAGTGCAGTGACTTTGTAATGGTTGAACAGTGTTGAGGGAATTATTTGTTTAGCAGAGTGATGGCTTGGGGGGGAACTGTTCTTGCATTTAGTTGTTCTGGTGTGCAGTGCACACCAGAACAACATATAGCATTGTTTTGAGGGAAAGAGTTGAAATAGTTTATGTCTGGGATGTGAGGGGTCTGTAAATATTTTCACAGCCCTCTTTTTGACTTGTGCAGTATACAGGTCCTTGATTGAAGGCAGGTTGGTAGTAATTGTTTTTTTCTGCAGTTCTAATTATCCTCTGAAGTCTGTAGACCTGCCGGGTTGCAGAATCAAACCAGACAGTTATAGAGGTGCAGATGATAGACTCAAGAATTCCTCTGTAGAATTGTATCAGCAGCTCCTTGGGCAGTTTGAGCTTTCTGAGTTAGCGCAGAAAGAACATTCTTTGTTGTGCTTTTTTGATGACATTTTTGATGTTAGGTGTCCATTTTAGGTCATGTGATATAGTAGAACCTAGAAATTTGAAGGTCTCTACTGTTGATACTGTGTTGTCTAGTATTGTAAGAGGTGGTAGTATGGGAGGGTTTCTTCTAAAGTCTACACCATAAAGACCTATCATTCAAGTTGGCTTCAAGTTACAAGTATTTTCATTTTACATTAAGACAAGTTAGAGCCTCCTTTCCCATCTCTGTGTCCTCCAAATGAGTTGGGCTATTTACAACTGCTCCTATTATCCCCAACAACCATGGTAGTTGGAGTCCTAGACGGCTGAAGAACATTAGCTGAATAAAAACTGACTTGCCAGATCCAAAGCAGCTGTCAAGGCAGCAGTCGCACAAATCCAACATGGAACAAGTCATATAGAATACGGAATATTTTCCTTCTGTGTAAACGGTATTTCGAAAATTTTCCTTCCGCCACACGAAACTATTAATTGCATGTATGTTATCGGGCAGCACTCTCGTTTCTGCAGCCGAAGCCATCCCGGGGAATTTTCCTAGCCCGGCTGCCCTCAGTTCTCGCCATGCGAAGCAGCAGAGACTTAACGACCCGTTTGGAGCCCAGTTCCTCCTCTCCCGGTAACATGCAGCAGTTGCCAAGAGGTACCCGCTTGAGAGGAAGACGAGAAAGCTGCATCTGGCTAGCAGGCGTTGGAAGCAGGCTGGGAAGCGAGGCCGAAGCGCCTGCGAGCCCGTGGCCGCTTCCTCACCGCCGCTAGGGGAGGAGCGCCTGAGGAGAGAAACCTAGCGCACGCTGGTATTCAGACTCTGGGGAGACAAAGGGGCTGGGAGCTTTTCTTCAGAAGTGCCTGCGCGGTGAGGATGCTGCTTGGCTAGTAAAGGACCCCGGAGAAAGTAGGTGCTGTTGCGCGGTGCCGGACTTTGGTGGATCCGAATATTCCTCCTTAACTCGAGACACGAAAGTGAAGTGAAGTGTGGAAAAACATTGGCCTCAGAGGAAATTCGGTTTTAATTCCCGCCCTTGCGGGGCAATTGGTTTGGGTGTGTGAGTCTGTGCTTTCATCTAGATAGGAAAACACCACTTTTGCTTCACTTACGGTTTCATGTCTTCAAAGTTTTTATTTTACAATACTCGATAAAAACTGGGTTTATCCACTGCTTTAAAACCAGGCTTTCCAGACCGGACATGGAGGTTGTTTTCTTTTTCTTTTTTTCAGTGACTTGCTTTTAGCATGTTTTGACGTGTATTCTAACCCAATCTGTATGAATTATCCTCCTTTAATATACCGGGGGCTGCTTCCCTTTATCTGTTATCAGATGGTTAACTTGCAGCCATTTATGCTTCCATAAATTACAAAAAACATTCAGCAGAGGCATTTGCTTTATGAAGACTCCTGAAATTTTTGGTTTCCATGAAATTCTTCAGATAAGAGAGAATATGTATAGGCAGCTATCTTTCAGAGTATGAAATGCTGGTTTTAGACTTTCTTTTGTTTGGAGAAATCAAATAAAAGGAAATTCAGAGAAAAAACTGCCTCTGTCCAAAGTAATGATTAAAGGAGAGAGAAGCTGTTACCCACAAAACATTTGTGCTGAACTTGAGATTTAAACCAATTTAAAGTTGTACAAACACACTTAGATAACTGCCCTAAATTCTTGGTAATTTAATTTCCAAAGAGTAAACCTTAGTTTTGCAAAGAACTATTGTTAGCTATTTGCACTGATAAGTGCTTAGGTTCCTATACTGTTTTCAACACATTATGAATACACATGTACTTTGTTTTTCTTCTATGAGCTTTGAGATGAGCCCTAGGTTATAGCAGAAATTTCAGGTATCTGATGGAAAAAAATTAGGATTTCCAATAATAGAAAAAATTGACAGGAAATGTATTATTTTTCTGATGATGGCCTAATTTTAGAAGTATGTTGAAATATTCTGGGAAAAGAAAGCAAAAATCTTGTTTCAGCCCAGAAGCTAATAGAACTATTGTAATTCTGACTTTGAAGGACAAGCAGAATTCTGTTGAAAAGCAAAGCCTAAATCCATTTGTCTCTCATGTTTAACTGGAGAAAACAATTAAGTACTAACTTTTTGTGGAGACATCACTGTTAGACATAGAGTATGTGCACATGCCTGTTCCTTGGCTACACCCAAGTGGTTTTGTGAATTTTTATAAAATTTGCCTTGTCTGACTTCTCCTTTAGTTCCATGTTGCCATTTAATATATGGTTAGATTTTTCTTCTTTTGTATAGTTTTATCAATTGATTATTTTCTGTCTGTTTCTTCTTTAATATTGCAATTTTGGAATACTCCAACATTATTTTAATGTGTACTGAACATTAACATTTAATGTTCTGTTTAGAGTTTATTATGTTTTCAATTGATCAGATTAATGATCCACTTTCCTCAGCTTTATCACAACAGAAGCCAAGTGTGGGTGCTTCAGATCTCTTTTTTAAGAAATAATACATGCAAGTAGCCTTTGGTATATGACCATAATTGAGTCCAGAATTACAGTTGTAAATCGTGTTGGTTGTAAGTGGATTATCATGTGACTGCACCTGATTTTATGACCTTCACTGCAGTGTTGTTAAATTAATGTGTCAATTCTTAAGTGAACATTGTTTGCAATAGGTTTTTTTCCAGAAACCAGAAGTAAATGCTAATTTCCCATTTTAAAAAAATCATAAATTCTGGTCATGTGACTGCTGGGCACTGCAAAGAGCTGTAAATATGGACTGGTTGCTAAGCACCCAAAATGTGATCGTATGACTATGGGGGCAGGGACATCAGAACTTCAAATTGGGTCATCCATATCCTGACATCTATCATAACTTTGGTCACTAAGTGAACAGTTATTGGTCAAGAACTACCTCTTGTCCTGTCACCTGGAGGGCACTAGATTAAGGGCAATTTGTAAAATTCTGTACATTTGAACTATCTTCTGCATTTCTACTCAGAGGTTCATTTGTGTAAGTCATCAGAAATCAAGCTCAACTTGAAGGAGACTATTTTAATTGCATCTAAATTTACACCTAAGAATCTGAACTTCAAAACTATGGAAACACTTGCATACCTTATAGAACATGGTGTCAATTTTTTGGCTTGTCTGGGCTGAATTGAGTGAAGAGAAATTGTCTTGGGCCAAATATAAAATATATAATATTTATTTATATATTGAATGTGTATGTATGTATGTATGTATGTATGTATAGTTATTTGTTTTTGCTAAAACTCATGTAACGTTACATGTAGGCTATGGTTTGTAGATCTCTGTTTTAGAATATGCCTTATAGAATGTGCCTTAGTTCTGCAAGACTTTTACTTTGCTTTTCTTAGATCTTTAGGAGATAAAAAACAGCCAACAACTGGAAACTGAGGCCAAATGGAATAAGAGATAAATTATAGCCTATGGTTTTACCCTAAAATATTGAAAGAAGTGTATGATAAGCATCTCTGTGGCAGAAATGCTTATTCGGGCATTCTTAATATGCCTTCCAGCATTAGCACAGTTGCTGTATGGCCAAGAATACTTTTGAGTCAACCTTTTTTCTCTATCAGCTGAAAATCTGCTTGAATGAGCTTTGAGAATTATGGACTGATGAGTTTTCCATTTTCTCACACATGTTTTTCTTGGTTATAGTTCTGGAAAGAAAGAGTTATATTACAAACTAAAAGAAACTGATACTTCAATCCTAAAAAGCTTTGGAGTAGAAGACTCCTCAGTTTTTAAAAAAAGAATTGATCTATTTATGATCTCTTTTGTTACAACACAATTTATGCAGTGCTGTGAATTTGGACTGAACCAGGCAGTTGCCCCAATCTTAAATAACACAATATCCCAAAGATCAGCAAATTGACCATAAGTGGGAGTTACTCATGACAGCATATAAGAGACCAGCCCCCATTATTTCAGGTCCAGATTAAATTGCTGGAAATATGTGGTCTACTTAATTATTTTTAAAAATTTGTCATTAGTTGAGAGATTGCAAGAGGCTGAATAGTGAGTAGATATGAAAGTAAGAGTGAAGAATGCTCTGTCTTATCTTGAGTGAATTCATGAGGCTGAATTCAGTTCTGAGCAAGTAATTTTCTAGGTTAAGGTCATAACAACTATGCCACACTTGTTTTTATAGAGATTGATCTCTGACTTCAGGGGAATACTAGTACCTGTAACTGAAGACAGAAACTCAGTGAAATATCCAATTTTGCAATGGAAAAGAAAAATAGAATTATGTTTAAGTTCTTAGTGTCTCTGGGAGGTTTTGACCCATCATATTTGTAGGTCATAAAGTTTGGAAGATCATTCTGAAGAATAAGAAAAAAAGTATGAGAAACCTTTTCAATCTGTTAATTTTAAAAGCTTTAACTGGAATTTCATAATATTGCACAATGTACATGTTGACTAATGTTATTTGTAGTTTGTTATATTGCACATGCATTTCAATCATACCGCTTAAGCTCAACAAATAACTCACTTTAAAATACCCACTCCTCCTAGATTGTGTGCTATATACTATGGGATGGGTGAGGAAGAGAACAGATACACCTCTCAGCTCAAGGATGTGTATGACAGCTGTGATACCACAGGCACTGGGTATTTGGACAAGGAGGAGCTGACTGAGTTGTGCCACAAATTACATCTGGAGGGAGAGCTCCCCTTACTTCTGGAAACACTTTTGGGAAATAATCACTTTGCCAGAGTAAGTAACTGCAAGACCTCCAAGGAGCTGTAAATAATTGCCTTTTTTCTGCCTGCCCTTTTCTGATTTGTGGTCTGGCAAGCTGTCCTCTCGAACTGACATAGGTGTCACTGAAAGACTGCTGAAAGCAGAAGTCAATTTAATATTTCCACTATGTTTATGGTGCTCCCCAAAGTCATAGCTGGCATAAGTAGTATAGTCAGTTATAGAACATAGCTAGTGTAAGTAGTAAACATTGGTACTGCAACCCTAAAGGACTCTAATTATCAGAAGAGAAGAAACATGCAAGGTATATTAAAATTACAGAAGACTATAGTGTAAAGGTATAATCCAGAAGTAGCACAAATTAGTTTTCCATAGTTCCTCTAGTAAAACAGTGGTTTACATGTGAGGTTTGAACAGATCTACTGAAAATAAGATTGGGTTTGATGCTGCATTGTCCTGCTTCTTGCTAGCTTACTTTCTCTTCTCCCGTATATTGTTGCACATGCTCCCAGGTTTGACTTCCAGTCATTCACTCATAACACTTACATCCTATTGAAGCACAGAGATTTGTAACCCCTCTTTACATTCTATTTGGGTTTTCCAGATGGGTATAACTAGAGCAGACATGACCCTCGTCGACAGTTGGGAAATAATTAAGGATGCACAAATATCACTTCCAACCGAAGACTTGAGAGACATCAGGCTCTTTGGAATACTTGAATATACAAGCAAATTTAAAGCAGCTGCAAAACTTTACTGGTTACAATATGCTTGCTCACACACTAGTAGTGGTATTCTACCAGTTTGGCCCGGTTCAACCAAACTGGTAGTAAAAAAATCGTACCTGTTCGGCCGAACCAGTAATAAAACAATTGCTATCTGTTCAGCCAAACCGGTAGTAACAAATGCTACTGGTTCGGCCGAACCGTATTTCTGACAATCATCTAGGCGACGATTAGCTGTGCCATGTGATTTAGATTAGCTAGAAAGCAGGAAATCATCAGATTTCTTGCTTTCTAGCTAATCTAAATTACGCGACACAGCTGATCCCCCCCTTGCTGTTGTACTCACCCTCAAAATGCTTCTTTTTTAAGCACCAAGGAGGCTTCCCTGAGGCCCACTAGGACAAAAAATGGGGTTTGTGGGGGTGCTGTGAAAGAAAAAAAGAGAAAGAAGGAGGGAGGGGAGAAAGAAAGAAAGACAAAGAAAAAGAAAAAAGAAAGGGAGGGAGAGAAAAAGGAGAGGAAGGAAAGACTACAAACCTTGTCACTAGATGCAGCTTCAGAGCACAGCAATCCAGGGTTGGAAGGTACCTGGAGGTCATTTAGTCCAAACCCCGTGCTCAGGAAAGTGAATTTCTGTCTTCCCCCCCCCCAGTCACATAACCACATAGCCTCACCCCCCCAGTCACATGACCACATAGCCACGCCCATCAAGCCATGTCCACCAAGCATTTCCACAAAACCAGTAGTTAATTTTTTTGAATTCCCCCCCCCCACACACAAACTCTGCTTTCCCTCATTCTTCTCAAGTAGACTTCCAACACTAACTAGAGAGAGAGAAGCTTCCATGTCTGCATAAAAAAACAAACTAACTAAGGAGCAGCCAACTTCAGGACCGCTTATATCCCCAAAGGAATTTTTCTCCATATATTGTACTTAGGCCCAGTTTCCTTTGTCTGCTTCAGTTGACATTTTTCCTTTTGTTTCCTTAACTTGTTTCTTTTTTATCTTCCTCCCTGAAGAGATCTTCTAGGCAGGATTCCTGTTTTTTTTACCTCTCTGCTTAAGTGCCTGTTTCATCTTTAGGTTATGGCAGCTTCAACCTAGTCTCACAGCAGTGAGAAAAAATGAGTTTTCATTCTCCTCAAGACAATTAAACAATGTTTTTCTTCCTATCTCTTACTAGGTTAATTTTGAAGAGTTTAAGGAAGGTTTTGTGACCATATTGTCTTCGACTATCCATCTTGGCCTTTCAGATGATGACAGCAGCTATCTGGAGCCAGGTGAATGAATAATGAGATGCATGAAATTGTTTTGGATGTGAGGTCCTTGGTGCTCTGAGTTTGGTGGTTTTCTTGCAGACTTGTCATTACCAAACTAGATAACATCATCACTGCTAGGCTAGTTATCTAATTTAGTAATGGAATGTCTGCAAGAAAACTACCAAACTCAGAGAGCACCAAGCCTGAGCTACAAATATTTAACCTTGAGCTACAAATATTCTCTTGTTTTGGATTTTCTGCTTTAAGTTTGGCTGTGTTATAGATTAGCCACCAACTGATGTATTTTACTATGACTTGCCGCCTGATGGATTACTAATGAAACATAGTTAGCAAAGATTGCTTACTGAGTTTGTTTGTACTGATTGATTTCAGAAAATGATAAAAAGTAAGGTTTTGTACACTTAAATCAGTTGTCTTTCTATAATGAAATTCCCAGAAATAAAACCATAATAGTTGCTATTTTGTCAAATACATTTCTCAAATTCATGAACAAAAAGTTTAAATGATTTCATCTATGTTCTTTCATATCTGTCAGCTAGTATAAAGTTTATGTATGTATATGGGATATTACTGAGAGGACTGGTGGCGTACCCTATCTAATTATTTGTATATTCTACTTTTTCTTTGGGATTTCAGGGTAACGTATCTGGGTCTCCCCTATTTTATCCATAACAACTCCTGTTTGGTAGATCACACTGAGAATGAAAGATTAGTACATAATGATCCATGGTTGAATAGAGATCTGAACCTGGGTCTCCACAGTTCTATTCCAACAGTTCTATTTATTTATTTCAACATTTACTTATTTTCTATGTCTTCTACTATGTTAGCATAACAAATATAAGAAATTAAAAGTTACACCTGAAAGAAAAAAGAAGTATAATTTGAGACATCAACTGAGTACTGTTGTAAGGCATGAAATCCTTGGAACAGCAACTGTGAATGAATTATAGCCGTGATGACGAACCTATCATGTGAGCCGGAAGTGGCAAGCAGAGCCCTCTCTCTGGGCACACCAGCCGTCACCTGTTGCTCTTCTGAGTTCCAGCGTACGCATGTGAACTGGCCAGCTAGTCTTTGTGGAAAACCACATGGCCAGCGTGCATGCGCCCATCCGAAACCAGAAACTCAGCTTCCCAGTGCGCACATAAATGCCAGGGAACTGCTCTTCTGGTTTCAGGTGCTCCTGTGTGTACGCCGGGGAACTACTCTTCTGGTTTCCGGTGTTCCCGCATGTGCGCTGGAGAGCTGCTCTTCTGGTTTCTGGTGCTCCCCCCCATGCACATGCGCTTCCATTTTGGCACTTGGTGCCGAAAAGGTTCACCAACATTGAGTTATACCAATAATGGAAAAGCTGAATGGTTATTGCGGCAATGATGCTAGAATTGGTAAAAAGAAAGAAAATAAAAATGTTAGATTAGATCCAAATGCCTACCTACCCATCATTCTGTTCTACCATGATGAATTAGATGGCTTTAGGAAGTTTCCTCAGTGGATTAGCTTGAAGTTCTTAAATGTACCTTGTGACATCCTCTCAATTGTGCTCACTAGCTCTGGGCATAGTTCCATGTTTTGAGTGAAAACTTTGAGTGCTGCCAGTGTTAAACAGCATGTATAAGTAGCTTACAATCAGTATAATGGGCCTCAACAGTTCAAGTTTTTGAATTAATAGTTTGTTTGTTATATTTTAAAAAACTTTATTTGGGATGAAAAAGAAGGTTGAGAGGAGAGGACATATTACTGGTTGTATTAGAACTGAAAGTATTTCCAATTTAGTTATTCCAGATGAGACTGAACCCAAGTATATCACTGAGGCCAAAGGGTATGGTTGCTGGACAAGGCCAGAACTTGAAAGTGCCATGTTGGAAACCCCCAAATATTTACAAGAGGAGCAGAGAAATATAAATGTAAAAAGTCAGCTGAGACATTCAACTTCTTTGGAGAGTGTGGAGGTATTTAGAGATCTATCTTCAAGCTATTTGAAATGGATGTGTTACATTTTACTACCACTCATGTGCTGTGTTGTAATTGTTCCTTTTGTTACATTTGTGGCACCTTGGACTTGACGAAATAGCCATCTGAGTCTCTGGAATTCTTCTGTATTCTGATCTCTTCCAGACACTCAGGAAATACCCAAACCTGGCTGGTATTTAGTAACAAAGGCATGGGACCTTAGAGTCAAATTTGATGTTTCCTAATTTGACAGCTTCTGTAAAAATCAGTTATGGTCCTATCTTAAGCAAGATAGTCCTTGCTTAATTATTGCTTTGTTAGTGATATTATGATAGCACTGAAAAGTAGATTTACAACCAGCCCTTGCATTTAATGACCATCACATCGCCCAAATCTCAAGGAGAGTCACTTCTCTAACACATTGTCAATTGACCTGTATTGTATCTCATGTTAGGCCACTGGAAGAAATCAGAAGTCAGTGGGAAAGATTTGAAGTTGTATTGGCAGCTTCACACAATCTTCATCCAATCTTTGGTTATTTTTCTATCCTTCATTCTGGCTATTGGACTGAATCTATGGAACATTAAATTCCATTGTCTTTTTTAGAGTCTCAAATCAGATGAAGAGGCTGAAAACTCAAAAGAAGAACAGCAGCAGACTTTTGAAGGCCAAGGTAGGGTTCAGCAAAAGAATGTATACCAAACATTGAAACATGTTTTTTATTGCTTCTTTTCTTGAATTTCCAATTTTGCCATGTCATTCAGTAGAGGAGCTCATGGTAAAGTTCTATTGGAAAGGCAGAATATATTCCTTGTAGACAAAGCTTATCTGATTCAAATTCTGCTCTTCATTTCCAGCCATAAGAATGGATAAGATAAACTCATAGACTGAATCCATGGAAGGCAATCCAAGCATAGCAATATATCTATTTCTCTAGTTTAAGTATGTGAAATCTCTATTTTCCATCCTGGCCATATGGAAGCTGTCTTTCTAAAACTTAGAGCCACTGATCTTCCCCCTTTCTGCACATTCTGAACTCATATTCTTAGAGAAATAAAAATCTCAGAAGGAAATTAGCTCCTCTTTCCTTAACCATTTTCTTAAGTATTGTCACAGGTGCTACAGCAAGGCTTTAAGCCAACTTCTTAACCACCATCCAGCATTCATTTTACATTTTTTAAAAAGTATTAGAGAATTTTTTGTAATAAAACCTTGATTCAGTGTAGATTCTGGTTTACTGTGTCTTGCAGATCTTGATAGATTTCTTTTATATCCATATTTAGAATTAAACAGAGGCAAGAGAGTGAAGATAAAAGAATCTGTTTCTGATGTTTTTGAGTATTACTGAAAAAAATACAATATTTTTTAATTAGAAGTATAGCTGTTGCTAATGTAAGAGTAATCTTTTGTAGGTCAAATGTGTACCTGGGAGAATAATCTCATTGACAATCCTAGAGAAGTCTCCACCTCATATTTGAATACAACTGAGAATCAGATTAGGGTTACTTGGGAAGATCTTGGCATTGGAACTAATGGATACCTGAACAAACAAGAGCTGGATGCTATTTGTAAGAACATTGGACTCAAAGAGATGGAAAAAGAGGTGGGTTAAATTTGACTTTTGAAAATTCTCATCTCAGAAAGTCTACTTGATGACTGAATGTGAAAATGATGGCTACATATGAAATATTCAGCATTTTGGCAAGTGTACAAAGTGTTCTCTATGCACTGCTTTAGCAATTGTTATTATTGCCTCCCAATAGTACATTAGTATTTTAAATAAATCCGAAGAAACTTTATATATACTATATGCTATACTTATATCTTGCCTGTTTTGCAAACTGCAGTTTTCAAACTAGTAGACCAATGCTGGATATCTTTGGTGGTAAGGCCCACTTTGAACTCATTTGCCAAGCTGCTGCAGTGTGAGATGGTTAGGTGTTTAACCCATATTAGAGTCTGTCCAGGTTATGAGTACCAGACTCTGCTTGTTGCATTAACTAAACCTTGTAGAATATGGATTGATGTGCTGTTCAATTCCAAAATTAATAGCACTTATATTTAGTGCTTTTACAGCTGTCCCTAAGTGGTTTACAGAGTTAGCAAATTGCCCCCAACAATCTGAGTCCTCATTTTACCAACCTTTTACCAAGGATGGAAGGCTGAGTCAACCATGTACCTGGTGAGATTTGAACTGCCAAATTGCAGACAGCTGGCAGTCAGCAGAAGTAGTGCATTCTAACCACTGTGCCACCAAGGCCCTTTAATTTATAATTAAATTAAATTAAACAAATGCTTGTGATACACTTTAAAAACTTTATCTTTTCTATAGGAACTTGAAGAATTATTTTACAAATTGGATAGTGATGCAGATGGCAGAGTAAGCTTAAAGGAATTCCAGCATGGCTTATTCAGCCACATCTGCATTCCTTGTCCTTTTTCTTCCACGCCATTTAAATCAAAAAGGCAAAGATCACATTCTGATCAGGTAATTATTCTGAGCAATATTTTCTTTATAAAATTCTTGGGTCCAAAGGGAAAATATTTGAATGTTCAAAAGGCTTCCAATTGTTGCATTTTCGTACAGACTGGTGTTATGATTTTTATGACATAAGGACTGAGATCTAGCAGAAAACTTGTGATTTGAATTGGTTGGATTCAAAGTATTATGAAAGTATTTTAAATCAAGGTCTGTGGAATAAGCTATAATAGTCTGGTTCATGTGTAACAGAAGATTATAATGGGTGGGTTTGCATATCTTGCTAAGCTAAAATCAAGACAGATAATGATCTAGAAGAGTCTTTCTCAACCTTGGTATTATTTTTTCATACTTTCCGAAGTGTTATGCCCAGAGGCAGGACAGAGCTTGAAATTTTATTGCTAATAGAAGTGTATACAGAAATAGGAATCAACCTGGAGAAAGAGGAAGTGATATAAATTATATAGCATGACAGGGTCAGAGAAGACTTTGTGTTGGGCGCGATCCAATGTGTATGGCTTGGGTCCAGCAGCCTGCAGGGGAAGCTTTGGTCAATATAACAAAATTATTGGACTTTCTGTTAACTTATTTTATCTAATAGATGCAGAGGCTGCTCTGTATGTCATTAAATGTATTCTGGCTTAATTATTGATCTTCTCCACTTTGGTGGCCTCATTAACCCTTTGCCCAAGTATATGATTGAATACCTCCCGTTGATGCACCTAAATCTATATTTCCAGATTATGCGTTCTGCTTTAGAAAAAGCAGGTTTCCAAAGCTGATTTAAAAGAGAAAAAAAAAACCCAAACCACTCCCACAAAGAATAACAGTGCTTACTGAGTCCAAGTGGGTTTCTACAAAAAATTTTTTTAATAAAAACTATTTCAAATTAGGCTTGACTCTTGGTGATATTTCTGAAACTTTCTTGGTAATTATGCAGAACTGCCATTAGTTTCCTTTCATATGTCTTATTCCCAAATTCGTAATCTCACCAGTGAACCTGGAATTCACTGGTTATCTCTCATTAAGCACTTAACAGGCACAGTCTGCTGAGTTCCCCATTCTGAACAAAGTCAACTAGACGTTGTAGCTAAATAATGAGTTTAGGATTTTTTGATGTTACTACCTGTTGTTTTTAAATTCTTTCCTAAATATTTGTTCCCCATTCATCTAAACTGACTCACTTACTTTTCCTCTCTCTACTGCTGTTTTATTCCTCCACATCATGCAGATTTTGAAAGACAATGGGCAACGAACTGCGACTCCATCTCTTTTCTCGAACTCAATGGCTTTGAATCTTTTCTCCAGCATTAACGATGGCAGTGGTTTTGCCAGTGTGGAGCAAGTTGTCTCCATCTGGGCCTGGGAAGGGGTTGAAAACTGCAAAGAGATTTTTAAGGTATCTGTAGCTGTTGTTTGGTGGTTTTCCTGGAAATTCTTAGCATGATGTTTTTTTTCATAATAAAGGATTTAATATATTGATAAGAAAAATGGAAGGAAATATGATTGGGACTGAGTGTCTGATTGGGACTGACTGCCATTGACTGGACATGGAAACGAAGGAAGGACAAGCCACTCAGTCCAATTGATGAACCTGCAAAGGTCCCTTGACTTTGATTGTGGGAAGCAGACAGGGAAGATCACAAACGATGATCTCATGGCTGCAGGACATTCGGGCCAGTTGCCAAGTTCCCAAATCACAATGTTGTTAAGTGAATTTTGCCCCATTTAAACCACCTTTTTTGCCACAGTTTTTATGTGAATCATTGTTAGTAACATGGTTGTTAAGTGAACCTGGATTCCCCATTGACTTTGCTTGTCAAAAATTCGCAAAAAGTGACCACAAGACCCAGTAACATTGCAACCATCATAAAAGTGAGTCAGTTGCCAAGCACCTGAATTTTGATCATGTGACCATCAGGATGCTGCAACTGTTGTAACTGTGAAAAATGGTCCTAAGTCATTTTTTTCAGTGCCATTGTAATTTCGAATGGTCATTAAACCAACTATTGTAAGTCAAGGACTACCTCTAATCCCTTCTCTGCTCATGTTCATACAAGCTCATTTGTTTAACCCTTTTGCCATCACTTTCCTATCATAACCATTATGATATCTTTAATAGTCTTATCATTTATGTCAAATCTGCAAGGTTTTTTCTGACATCACAACTTTTAACAGGTTGCAGTTCTTGCTATCCTTGTTTAATATCTTTCCTGCTCCTAAATATGCCTTGAATCTTTAACCCAATCCCTTAACAAAATAGCCCAATGACTATTATCTTTTAATGTTTAATTAATGCCAACTTTCTAATGCTATATTAATAATAGTTTAAGGGCCAGCTGACACTTAGGTTTTAGTTTCTCTTGATTTTCAAACTTTGTCTTGTTGTAGAGTCTTGATTATAATGTGGAAGAGCGGGTGAACCTTCTAGAGCTTTCTATGATCCTTGATGATGAATTAATTGCTTCCAAGAATGGACTTCAACAGGCAGCTGTTGCCTCTTATAAGCATGAACTTCATCATCTACAGTAAGTAGTTTTTGCTTTGGCTTTTGAGACTAATGATGTTATACTATGTGTAGAAATTTCAAAGTCATCATTATAAAGTGCCTATTCATCTAATTGTTGTTTGCCTCAAGACCACATCTGTATGCACAAATGCATAGTGTTGTTACATGAGGCTGCTTTTTAGCTAAATAGTTTCACATATCACCAGTTGCAAATCTAAATCTAAATCTATTAGATTTATACTTATATATTGTCTGCAGAGCTATGATACCTTAACAGGATCAACACGACTGGAATTTGGAGGGGTTGTAAGTAACGTGTTTTCTTTCTTTTTAGAGCACAAGTAGAACGGATTTCCAGTGAGAGAAACAAAACAAGAGCCGAGCTGGAAAAGACTAAAAAGAGGAATTGCCAGCTTTTTAAGGAAGTAGATGATAACCACAGTGCTCTGGAGCATCACAATGAGAGTAAACTCAGGTGATTATTGTCATTGGGAAAAATAATTATTGCACAATATAAACTTATACCAAATAAAAATACTAAAAGTTCTTATTACAGACAGCCACAATAAAAATGATGATCAGATGATATTCCAGTTGTTTTGGTAGTATTTCCGTCAAGGCAGCCTTTCTTCCATTCCTATTCCCTTTCTAAATAGTATTTGTGGTGTCTTAATTTTTTTCTCTAAATTCTAATATTCATTGTTATTTTATTTAATTTGAATTAAATTATATTTTATTCCTGTTTAAACTATTTCATAAAGTATTTAATTATGTATACAATATGGCAAAGTGTATAACTATATATGGATAAATATTTTGTAAGATATCTAATTCGTAAAATTTATGGGGGAAATCACATAATGACAAATGGCAAAATAAATCAATGATATCAACAGAATGTAATCTAACCATCCCAAAATGCAAGTTCTCGTTTCAATAATTTTAAAAAGCATTGTCATTTTAAAAAAACTGATCGGATTTTTATAGGCATTTCTTCACTTGAATTGGTTCTAACCTATGGTGGCAAATGGAGGGTAGACTATGACTGATAAATAAAAGTATTAAAAATAATTCATTTTATTTCAAAGTGTGATAGGTTTATTTTTTTGCAAAATGTGTTTCAATTTAATACTTAAATGAGAATAAACAAGCTTACAAATCTCAGTGGTGATGTTCCTACGTTACAGAGCTCTTGAGCAAGATTTCAAAGAAAAGCTAATGGCAATAAAGTCTGAAGTCAAGATGGAACAGGAATTGCTCATGCAACAAATGCAAAATCAGAGAACCAAGTTAGAAGCAGATTTCAGATACCTTCAAGAGGAGGACTGTAGTCTAAGGAAGAAGCTGACCTTGATGATCAAAGTAAGGGCTTGGGCTTTTGTCTTACGTTCAGAACAGCTGCTAAACCATAGTACTAAAATTGAAGATTTTTGACCGTGTGTAAAATATTACATCCAAGAAGGTTGAATTCCAAGGCTTAGAAATTGAACAGTTTAAGTCCGTGTCCATTTTCTTTCAAGGTGTACAATTGGGCCCACTGATAATGGTGACAAAAAAAATGAGACAGGTAAAACTAAACAATAGTTCCTCCCCTGTACAATGTAAATCTTATTAGTTTTAACTTGTCACTTCTGAAATTTCACCAGACAGTTATATTTAGGTTCACAGCCATGAGATAAACATTGATTTGTTTTTTTGATTGACTGAAAGCTGGGTTTGTTCAGAAATGGCATTCTGCAACCATTAAGGCTGCAGAACTGCAGCATATGCAAACTTTTGGAATGTCTTCTTGAGACTGTGTCAGTTCTTAGTGTAGACATGAATCATTTACTCAGTTTTTCATTATAAAGGGTCTCTAATTGTGCAAAAGCACACATAATATGCACTTAACCATTCAAAGTTACAATAGACTAAAAAAAGTTACTTATCTTTCATTTTCTTCCATGTGAATGTATTTTTAAAGGAAAATAGTCGCTTACAGAATGAAGTTGCTGAAGTGGTTCAAAAACTGAGTGAATCTGAAAATCAAGTTTTGAAACTTCAAGATCTTAATTTTATTTTGAAAGACAAGGTAATTCCATATTGATGAAAAACGGTGTGAAAATCAAATGAGTAAGAGTCTTGTATGTATAGCCTTGTGCCTATAGTATCTCCTACATAAATATTCAGTATTTTTGTTAGTAATGATGAAGAATTTTCTTTTTTTCAAACTTTTGTCAGAAAAATGCTGCATTAAAAAAGATCTAGGCCCTCTTAAAATGTTTCTTTTAATTATTTATTTTAAATAGTTATTCTGAATATGGTTACATATTATTTACATAAAGTAATCATTTACTTTTCATGTAAGCATTGGTAAAATGTCTGTAAGGACAATAAAAAGACAAAAATATTTTAAAAGTCCCTTTGGCATAACTATTTCTGTACAAGTTTGATCTGCTCATGATGATAGCTGTAACTTTGGTACATTAGTTTTGATTACTCTATACTACCCAGAGTTGTTTTGTAGATTTGGACAGCGTTATAAAGGAAATAAATTAAAAATAAAATGTAACTCAAGGTGATTTTAGAGCTAACTTCAAAGGCTTTAATTCCAATTTTGGAACAATATACTACATTATTTTTTTTAAAAAAACAATCATATTTGCTTCAGCTGCGGTTACTGGATCCATACAGTACAGAACAATATGATCAAGAAGCACGCTTTGCTAAAGTCATTCAGGAATATGAGCTGCAATGTAGGGTAAGTGGTTTATTTTTAACTTTATAAATATGCATAGTGGAAAGCCAGAAATGAGTTGAGCAGGAAGAAAATTGTCCATATTTCACAACTTTGTCCCTCTTCCCTTTACTAATGACTGTATGGAACCTTTTTACTAATCATTTACTATTGAATTAATAAATCTCTTCTACAATAATATAAAACATAATGGTCCTGCCTATTGAGATAGTCCATCGGAATCATGATAAGCAGATGCCTAGTTGCCTGGTATATATCTGGGAACATTCTGTTATTGTTATTTTCATTTCTCTGCTTTTTGTTGGAAAATCATAATGAGATCCATTGGTAGGTGGCGGGCTAATGGAGAGTTCTAAAAATAGAACCCTCTTGTGTATTATTTCATGCATTCCACAATCCACTCAATTCCCTTCCCTTTTTTGTTTCCATATACATTCAATTTGCTGCTGCCTACCTAATCATAGAGGGTGAAGGTGAGCATTGCATTTCCAAGTGTGCTCATTTCCTATATTTGTAATGAATATTTCTTTCAATCTGCCTGTTATGATAAGCTTGAAAACTTTGTTTTTTTTATTTCAATAGTTCTGTATAACATAAGTACCTTGTGAAATAGACAGCTATTGAATACTCTTGGCATTGAATTTAGTCAGCTTAACATTCAGAAACTCCAACGATGTGCCCCTTGCTATTTAAGGAAATAACCAGTTATTTTTGTCAGCATTTCTAGCAAGCTCAGATCTTCTGAGAATTGATTGGGTTTGACGTTTGAATATGTGTTTCAGTTCAACAGCTGTACTACTAATGTTAGTGTTTGCCCAAAATGGAAAGAAATGTTTATTTTGTAAAAAAGAAAACAAAAATCTAAAGATATGGTGCATGGAATTTTCGGTTTCTTAAGAACTTCTTTTGTAAATGGAATTGCTATATCTGATCTTGCATGTTTGATCTGTCTAACATCTGTTGTTGGTAATGTTCACACATTGCTTCTAAACAAATATGATTATCCAGGATTGTTGCACAATTGGGATAGTACAACATTCCATAAGATTGTATATTAAATAAAAGGAATCCCAGTGCTCTTCTTGCATGGATGTGCAAACTTTTACTAGAATTTTGGTATACAATGGGCTTTTGAATTTAGAAGAAAATTCTTTGAGCTCAATTCAATATTTTTATTGCATTGGGAATCTTTGTTTTTCATGTAGGGAAATGCTTTTCTATATACAAATAGAACCTTTAAAAGTTAGCATATGTGCTTTGAACTGTAGCTATTGGTAGAATCCTAAACTTTGTGTGCTTTGGTATTAGGGCCAAAGACCAAGAAACCCATGAAGAGTTACTTTTAGGCAGTTTCTTTTATTGTTCCTCACCTATAGTCAGAAATCTTTCCAAACTAAAACAAACTACTCAAAGAAATACTCTGAGAACCTCTAGGGAGGAGCTAATTTGACCCTCTTCCTCTCAACCAAACTATGTAAATTCGGCTACTTGTTCCTATGGAATGCAGCTTCTTCCACCTGGGAATTCAGACTATATTTCATCATATCTGGTCAGCATATTAGTTCTCAACGGGAGATGCTTATTTATACCAATGGGACTCTTGGATCTTGGCCTCTGTGTGGATGCTAAAGGTTAGAATGGTCAGAAGTTTCCTCCCCCATATTCATGTACACATTACTGCAAAAAGCAAGCACAACATTTTATAAGTAAAAATAATGTTCATGTACACATTAAAAAGAAACACTGGAAAGTGAAGGCTTTCTTTTAGGTTGCTTTGAGATGCTTTACATTTTTGTCAGCCCTAATGGAGCTTGTTCTTATTCCTCAAGAGACTGAGCAAGGATTGGTGTTTGTAGCACAGAAAAACTGACCATCAGAAAAGCTCCATTTAGACTCTCAACCTCTATCTTGTGTCTTGCAGGTCTTCAGGTTTGTTCCCAGATTCATTTTAAAGAACATTTTAAAACTGGCTCACCTAACCAGGCTTCTCCAAGATTAGATTAAGAGATAAGTGAGGATGCAGATTGCAGAACTAAATTGACTTAATGTGTAACAGTAAATAAGAAAGACATATGAGTGGGGATAACAATAATTCACTCATAGTAGTGGACACTTCCTTTTTGACAGGGGAAAGAAAAACCCCTGTTATATATTTACAATAAATCAAACTAGAATTTTGTTTGGTTATCTAAGATTTAATTTACTGTATATTATGCCAGGAATGGGCGCCTTGTGGCTCTGAAGGTTTTTCTTTTTTGCTGTGCAGCCCTCAGTTCCTCTCTTGAACATGATTGCCAAAATGATGGCACTATTAGACTCACTAAAATTGTAGTGCGTGCCCTAAAATAAACACAGTTTTTATTCCCCCAACCCTGAAAGAAAAAAGAGAAATTTATCTGCCAGCCAGCCTATCTTGTTAAAATTCAGCCCACAGAAAAAAGATGACAAGCATGGCTTCATGTTATTGTATCACTGAATTTACAGCTTGATTCACTCCTGTTTGTATACGCTGCTCAAAAAAATAAAGGGAACACTTAAACACACAATGTAACTCCAAGTCAATCACACTGTGAAATCAAACTGTCCACTTATGTAGCAACACTGATTGACAATCAATGTCACATGCTGTTGTGCAAATGGAATAGACAACAGGTGGAAAGCAGTTAGCAAGACATCCCCAATAAAGGAGTGGTTCTGCATGTGGTGACCACAGACCACTTCTCAGTTCCTATGCTTTCTGGGTGATGGTTTGGTCACTTTTGAATGCTGGCGGTGCTTTCACTCTAGTGGTAGCATGAGACGGAGTCTACAACCCACACAAGTGGCTCAGGTAGTGCAGCTCATCCAGAATGGCACATCAATGCGAGCTGTGGCAAGAGGTTTTGCTGTGTCTGTCAGTGTAGTGTCCAGAGCATGGAGGTGCTACCAGGAGACAGGCCAGTTCATCAGGAGACATGGAGGAGGCCATAGGAGGGCAACAACCCAGCATCAGGACCACTACCTCCACCTGTGTGCAAGGAGGGACAGGAAGAGCACTGCCAGAGCCCTGCAAAATGACCTCCAGCAGGCCACAAATGTGAATGTGGCTGCTCAAATGGTCAGAGACAGACTCCATGAGGGTGGTATGAGGGCCTGATGTCCACAGGTGCAGGTTGTGCTTCCAGCCCAACACTGTGCAGGACATTTGGCATTTGCCAGAGAACACCAAGATTGGCAAATTCGCCACTGGCGCCCTGTGCTCTTCACAGATGAAAGCAGGTTCACACTGAGCACACGTGACAGACGTGACAGGGTCTGGAGATGCCGTGGAGAATGTTCTGCTGCCTGCAACATCCTCCAGCATGGGCGGTTTGGCAGTGGATCAGTAATGGTGTGGGGTGGCATTTCTTTAGGGGGCCACACAGCCCTCCATGTTCTCGCCAAAGGTAGCCTGACTACCATTAGGTGCCGTGATGAGATCCTCAGACCCCTTGTGAGACCATATGCTGGTGTGGTTGGCCCTGGGTTCCTCCTAATGCAAGACAACGCTAGACGTCATGTGGCTGGAGTGTGTCAGCAGTTCCTGCAAGACGAAGGCATTGATGCTATGGACTGGCCCACCTGTTCCCCAGACCTGAATCCATCTGGGACATCATGTCTCGCTCCATCCACCAATGCCACGTTGCACCACAGATTTTCCAGGAGTTGGGGATGCTTTAGTCCAGGTGTGGGAGATGATCCCTCAGGAGACCATCTGCCACCTCATCAGGAGCATGCCCAGGCGTTGTAGGGAGGTCATACAGGGACGTGGAGGCCACACCCACTACTGAGCCTCATTTTGACTTGTTTTAAGGACATTACATCAAAGTTGGATCAGCCTGTAGTGTTTTTTTCCACTTTAATTTTAAGTGTAACTCCAAATCCAGACCTCCATGGGTTGCTAAATTTTATTTCCATTGATAATTTTTATGTGAGTTTGTTGTCAGCACATTCAACTATGTAATGAACAAAGTATGTAATGAGAATATTTCATTCATCCAGATCTAGGATGTCTTATTTTTGTGTTCCCTTTATTTTTTTGAGCAGTGTATTTACCTTTGTTTCAAGCAATATTGTTACCATTTCTCCCATGATAAAGTATATTACAGGGAGTTGAATATGTGTTGTTTTCACTATCTTCTATCTTGTTTTGTTTGATTCAATGAAATGTGTGATATCAACATGTCTAGAAGCTTGAAAGGATTCAGTCACCCTATCTGAAGACTCTGCAACAGATGATGGTTCAAACCATTGAAAACTTGCCTAAACTAATATTTCTTATCATGAAACCACTTGTATTTAAAAGAACATAGATCATGGTTGTCCAATCTTTTGGCTTGCCTGAAGAGGAGTTGTCTTAGGATTCATATACAATAAGTAATATTCTTAATGTATAGAAATAATAAACTTCATTTTTTATTACCTTGTGGAGTTGCATTATTAGTGTCAGGATTCCAGCAGTTTCCCCAATTAGATGTCTAGAGCGGCATGTAGTCCATGTGCTGTGGGTTGAATACACCTGACTTAGATGAAACCTATGGCTACTTGTTTTGTGGTTGCTGAATTTCTCTCTTCTTTGTGGAGGTTTTTAAGTACAATTCTGGAGGTAACAGTTCTATTGTTATCCCATTTGTGTCAGAATGATTATAAGCAAATATGGATAAGCCCTGAAGTTGCTGTTCATCCCACCACATACATCTGTTTTGTGCATTTCACTGTTGTTTTCTGGCTGCTTATAGGAAATGCATGACAAGAATGATGAGCTGCAGATGGAGGTGGAAAAACTGAGATCCCTGCTGCATGTAAACAAGCCTAACCTACCAAGCTGCAAAAGGAAGACTAACAACACTGGAGAAAGGTTCTTACCTGGAAATGAAAAAGCTAGCATTATAGGTGAGTAATGCAAATCAGGCATGGTTCTTCAGAACAACTTTCTGCATCCTGCTGAAATCTGGATGTATTGCATGCTTACTCCCAGAATTGTCCACATAGAGGGATTCTAGAAAATGATTCAACACATCTGGACTTCATCTGGATGGGAAAGACTGTTCATGCAAGAACATATGAACAGCTGAACAGTTCATAGGAGACCAGCTGAGCTCAGACACTGCTGTGTTACTGCTGTTGCTTAATTCAGTGTTAAAGCAAAAGATGCATTTATTTTACTATTTATTGCATCCAATCTTGATCTGGTCTACAGCTAGTAGATGAAGGCTGCAAGTTCTCTTTTAATATTAAAACAGTTTTTTACTATATTAAATCATTGAATATGTTTCTTCTAAGACAACATTGAAAAGGATGATTATTTTCTTCCATACCAGCACTTACCAACCACAGGCCAAAATGCAAAAGGATGAATAATCATATATATTGTCTAAAAACCTCCCAAGCACCATAGAATTTAAATAAGCCTAATCTAATCCAATCTGTTCCTTTATAAGTAAGATACCAGTATCAAAAATATAATTTATAATTTTTTTTTAATTCTTCCAATCTGGGACCCTATGGTATTTGCAAACAACTTTTTTAGGGCTGTGGTTATTTTTTCTCCTAGATATTTTCTTTTGTAATATAGCTTCCATGATTTAACCCACTACTCTTGTAGCTAGGGGTGAATCAGTAATAGTTTTCTTGTCTCCATGTTTTTCTAATAATACATTTACTCACAGATGACACTTTCATAACATCTGATCCCTATTCAGTAAGTATACAAACAGAACTTCTGGTGGAAGACTTAAAAGAACAGAATCGAACTATAAAAACACAGCTAGAAACCAAGGTAAGCAGGAAGACTCAATACTTAATATCCAATCTACAAGTACAGAACTTAAAATCAGCAGAACTCATTTTTTTTGCATGTAATAACTCCACAGAGTAGTTTCAATAGAGGCACTCTTGAGTTATTCATAGTCTTCTAAGTTTTGTTGGTAGAATGGCAATCACCATTTCTCCAATCTAAGTAAAGATTTATATAAACTTATTTGAGCTAATTGTTCATTTTAGCATTTTGAAATCACTCTAATAAATGTCGTATTATAGAAGCCATGCTGTAAAAGGACTTCTGAGTGTAATTTTATAATGGAGAGCAGGCATGGTCTAAACCAGGACTGTCAAACTCACAGCCCACATGCATCACGCGCTGGCCACACCCAGGTCCAGTTTAGCAAAGGGGAAAAAAGTCCTGATACATCACGTGATGCCCCCGTGACGACATGAGTTTGACAACCCTGGTTTAAACAAATTGATAACACATTTTAAATTAATTCATGCAAACCATGCAAACTCTAGAAAAACAAGATACACTTTTTAAAAAGATAGCTATTGTTTTGTATATAAATTCCATGCACTGGAAATGTCAAATTTCTTGGGTGAGTAAATCACTTAAATTTTAAATAAATATTTTGAAATGTTTTCTGATTTTATTAAAATTTACTGTTCTAGGTCAATTACTATGAACGGGAAATAGAACTAATAAAAAATAATTTTGAGAAAGAAAGGAAGGATATTGAGCAAAGTTTCAAGATCAAGATTAGTGAATTGGAAGAACAAAAGAATGACCTGGAAGAACTGAATGAGAAATGCCAGGAAGTGATTGATGGTTTGAAAAGCCAGGTTCAGAAGCTAGATCCTATTCAAGAAATGAAGAGATTTGAGAAGGAGAGGACAGAAATGGAGCAGTTCTATGCTAAAGAAATATCAAACTTAGGTCAGAGGCTGGCCCAGGAAAGAGAAAGATTGGAAGATGACTTGAAGATGAAGCATGAAATGGAGATACATTTTATGAGGTTTGGAAGCATATTCTTAGGATTCTAAATATGGGTACTTGCCAGTACGTACTAATAGTAGTTCTTTATGCATATGTAGGAAAAAATCTGCTATGTTAATATGTGAAGTTGAATCTTTAAAAGGAAAATAAAAGGTAAAAAACTGCTTCAACTCAAGCATAATTTCTGGTGTTTGAGGACTCATTGATTGGCAATAATAAAAAAGTAACTTTGTTACTGGTTTCTTTTAGAATGTTTTTCAGTTTCTCAGTCTATAGCCCTGACATTCTTTGGTATCTTCCTGGTTGCATAACCAGGCGTAACCCTGCTTGGCTTCAAAACCTAGCCAAGATATATCAGGTGCTACCATTTGCTGATACAGCATTGGAAGACAGGAATAAAAAGCTATAGCTATAGCTATATTTCTTTAGTAATAAGATAACTTTGTATAACTACATATAGACACTTTTCTTTTCATCGTATATCAAAATGATGGGGCTATTTTTTGAAATGTGATCATCTGAACTAGAAAGTTGTTAGTTGGTATTTCTTTGAGTTATTCTTTATATGCAACCTAATTAGCTTGAATATTTTCAAAAATAACAAAAATCAGTTCACAGTAATTATCTTTTATTTGTTTATGTGCATTTATGTGCTGCCTTTTTAGGTGGCTCCTAAAATTATGCATATAGTGACTATCTTAGCTTATAATTAATTCTATAAAGCACTTAGAGGTTTTTTAAGCCGGCCAGTTGAAGTATTCCTTTCTCATTAGTATCTGCTAGAACTATTCAGTCAGGTTGGCTGAGAATTCTGGGAATTATAGTGCTACCAGATCTACACCCTATCAGCTAAAGGAGGTTTATTTGAGCAAACAAGTCTGTATGGTAACTTTGGCCTTCCTCATTTCACATTACTAAATTTGTTATTTTCAGTTTCTAGGACTATGGAAAAATAGATATATGTGTCAGGTCAACCAGACGGGACTGAACTGAGGTGTCAGTAATCATTAAAACAAAACTGAGATGGTTAAAGATTGTACAATTCCTTGAGATTAGATAGTTTCCACAAATAATCTTGGAGAAACCATATTCTCTCGAAGTCTAAAGGAAGATCCACAACTGTTTACTGCTTTATATATTCTCGCTTAAAAGAATATTGAATATATGTAGCTCAGGCTTGGATCTTTGGTGTTCTCTAAGCATGGTTGTTATCTGAATAGGTGATATTAGTAGTGCATGAGAAAGTGAGTTTGTTGGTAGTGAATTCCAGAATTTATTTACACATTGTGGAAAAAAATCATTTTGTCCAACAATCAGGAAGAAATAATACCCCACTCAAGGAACCACTAAGGAAAAAAAAAACAGGCCAAACAAAACTGGCAAATTAAGACTTATGTAAAGAATAAGCAGACTTCACTTTCTGTTGCACTGGTGATGTCACCTGTAGAAACTTCTACAGAAAAAAGTCCAGCTCAGAAAATACCAAGATCCCAGTAATTTTTCTGTATTTGAATGAATTGGAATATATCTAGAACTACCTTGTCAGGGAAAGCTATTTTGGGAATTATTAGCAAGGACAAGAGATTTTGGTGGACATTAGCATTAGTAATGTAATGCTACGTCACCTTGCCACACAGATATTGATACTGTTTGAACAGAGTGCTTCTTAATGCTTATGGCATTTTTAGCATTTAACCTTTAAGACACAAAATCTGTACATAACATCTGATTATCATATTTGGTTTGGCAATGTACTTTATTGCAAAAGATGTAGCTAAAAATAGTTTTATCCAAAAATACGTTATTTAAAACAATTGTGATTTAGTAAAATTACTCTTATCTATAATTTCAGGAAAGAGATTATAACTTTCCTTTTGGTAGATTTTTAGCTACTTGAAAATTATTTTCTATTTTCTTCTATTTATTTTTAGTCCATTTTCCAACAAAAATGGTGTCTAACTTACCACAATAGTTTCTTTTATAGCCTGAACAAATTCAATTTCATTTTTTCTTTTTTGCTATGCAGAATGGAACTACACAGGGTTTCAGAAGACAATATCTTCTTAAAAAATAAACTTGGAAAATGTCAGCGAGATATAGAGATTGGTGACACAAACCAAAAGCACAGGTAAGTATTTTTCATTTCATTTGTATATTAAATTCTGCATATGAAATGCCTTAACTTAGGAGGAGAAACATGCAAGGGGAGGAGAGAAATTAAAATTTGAAAAATGCTATTATTTCTGAGGTCGCAAAGAGACACACACAGCTTAGCTGCTGAACCATAACACAAAGAAATGCCATTTGGCTATGCCAGTCCTTCCTAATCTGGTGCAGTTCCTAGGTTTTAGATTTGAACTCCAGGAAACAAGTTCAGAAAATACTTTGTTTCTTACTATGATAATGCTGTGAAATATACTTTATGTATAATATTCTTTTGCAAATAGGGGATGCTCAGTTAATACTGGAAAAATAGAAATGTGAATTGTATAGCAATTGTTAGCCTAGGTTTCATAAAAGCACAGGCTTTCAACATACAACTTGAAGATTGACTCAAGAGAGATAGGTGGGTAGGGCAGCAGATGTTTACCTTTAGTCTCCTTTTCCATGAATATTCATCCTATTGAAACACCCATTGTTTGTTAGAAATCTTAGCCAAAGGGGTACTTGGGAATACTGCCAGCTCCCTCAAAATTAGACATGATTCAGTTATACCTGTCTTGAGCCAGTTCACTGTTATAAACAAGAATTATAGAGCTAGAGTAGATCCGTGAAAGACCATTAGAATTTCTAGAGTGATTCCAAATCTCATTATAATATCGATGCACAAAATATGCTTCAGTTAATGTTTTTTTTCAGAAAGCACATTGATGAATTGAAAATGGAAAGAGAGAAGATGATGTATGAAATAAAAGAATTAAATGACTTGGTAAGTAGTTAGAGTACCACTTGATCTGCCTTCTCACAGAGCCTGAATTTGAAACAGTGCAGTAACAGAAAGCTCAAAACAGAGCCAAGAAGTTATAAATTTCAGTCAAAAACAGGCAGACAGGGCAGGGGGACATTTCATTTCATTTTATTTAATAATTTTATTCTAGGAAAAACATTTATTTGAATACATTTAAAACACAAATCTCTCTCTCTCTCTCTCTCTCTCTCTCTCTCTCTCTCTCTCTCTCTCTCTCTCTCTATATATATATATATATATATATATATATATATATATATACACACACACACACACATATATACATTTTACAGCATATATTGAGCAATGGTTAATTTTTTTTTCTTTATCATTGACGTGATCTGCCTTGTTATATAACTCCTTCATTCTTTTAATGTTTTAGTTTCTCTATATAGTTTATGATTAAATGCACATCTTCTGTTATTTCTATAACTTATCCAAATATCAAATATTACCTTTTCTTTAACCACTCATACCAAATATTCCATATTTCATAATAGTCACTATCTTGTTTATTTTTTAACAATCCATCTCAGCGCATTCATGTATTTTTTAATTACCATAGCCTCTGAAGGAATGGAAGACAGTTTCCAGTTTTGTGCGTAGGTTCTTCTGGGTGCAGTTATGATGTGCAAAATTAAATACTGATATTTTTTCTCCATGTTTAAATCTATCATACTTGAGCAGAAAGGTTTCGGGTTCAAGTTTTAAATTTTGTTTTGTTATATTTAAAATCCAATTTCTAATATTTTTCCAAAACTTCTGAGCATATGGGCAAGTCTACCACATGTGAAAATATGTTCCTTGTGCGTAGTTACATTTCCAACAGTTGGGTGGTAGGTTGGGGAACATCTTAGCCAGTCTCGCAGGAGGTAGGTGCCAGCGATGAACCATTTTGTGTAAGTTTTCTTTATATGAGACTGACATGGTTAATTTGTAATTTGTTTGCCAGATGTGTCGGGGGACATTTTAGAAGGAGGAAATTATTGTATATTTTGCATGATTTATCTATGGCACTTTTTTAAAAAAAGGATTCAGTAACAGGTGATGAGAAAGATCTGTACCTGAAATCATGAAGAACTTCTGCCAGTTATTGAAATATGGAAACTGGCTAATGTCCTCAAATGGGAGTCTTAGTAATTGTCCAGGAATTTAAACAGAAGCTTTTCCCAGTCATATCTGGACATTATCAGGGATTGAACCAGGGACCTTTTACATGCAATATATATGGGTCTTCCCAAAGGTTGATAGTACTGGACTTTATGAAAAAAATAACTTGCGTGCATATAAGGTTTATTGCTGAGTTCCTCAATAAATTTCAGCAGTTATTTTTCCTGCATCTTAAAGCAGGTGATAATTATCCAGACACAAACAAATTAACAAGAATTAGGCAACTTTAGAAAGTGGTTGGATAATCTGAGTATCAGTACTTCTAATCTTATCCATGTAATCAATGCTACCAAGGTTCAGTTGAGAAACATTGGCTGGATTTGCACATTGTATTAAGCCATAAAGTGTTTGAGGTTGATTTAGTTTATTGAATAACGCATGATTAAATGGGTTAATGGATTCTATATCAATACAGTCAACTTGTTGCCCAGTAAAGCTGTCTGATGAACTCTATTTGAATTTCTAGTGCAAAAATTATCACTGTATACTTTCAAAAGTTAATTATTAAAAATATTCACAGCTACAAAATTCAGAACTATAATTTTTTCTTTAATACTTTGTATATAGGTTTACATTATTCACCCTGCCACCAAAAATTCAGAATGTATTTTTTTAAAAAAACAATCCATCCTTTAGTTCTAGAAGAGTTTTCCTCTTTCCTCCTTTTCTTTCTCTGAGAAAGGTAGCAATTTAACACATTTGTTTCAAGACATTCCCTGTTTGTCTATAACTTGGATCTAGGAAATCCCTATCTGATCCTTTGTATAATTTATAATCTTGTTTTGTGCATGCACAAATGTAATTGTGATGAATGTCACAACACTGAATGCCTGAAGTCGTTTCAGAACAAATGCTACAAAGAGGAAATCTTACAGCTGAACACCAGGACTGATCAGCTAAGTCATGAATACATTGAATTAAGCAGCATGAATAAAGCCAGTCAGAAAACAGTCAAGATACTGAATCAGAGATTTTTTGAATTGGAGGGCCAAAAAGAACAAGAAACTATGATAGCCAAACAACTTCAGGAGGCCTCTGCTAAGATGAAAAAGGAGCATTTTCAACAGCAGTTGACATGGCAGGGAGAAAAGGACTTGCTAGATCAAGAGCTGAAATTGCTGAAGGAAAAGGTAAGGCTGATCTAGGAGAGTTGTCACTGCATTGTAAATATATATGACACTTCATAATGTTGTACTCCAGTGATGGACAATCTGCGGCCTCTTGGCTGCAGGCAAACATTCAGTCTTCCTTTTGCAGCTGTTTTAGTTCTCCTGGTAATGATTTCTAAAAACTGATTGCAGATACTATTTTGCAGTGGAGGGCAGATGAAAACCAGTGTAAGTGCTACAATAGCCACATTACAGCTGAGAAACAGTTAATCCCAAATTCCCATCTCTGTATGATGTGGCCCTACCTACTTTGCCACAAGTGTTAAATGTTGCCTGTGACATCAAACAACTGCTTGGCTTTAGTAAGCAGTTTAGTATTTCATGTAGAAAAATCTGTGTTATGTTGGCCAAACCAAGGCAGCATTTAGATAACATATCTGTTATGGAATCATGAATTAAGACTATTTTGTCTATTTTAACTTTTAGTTTTGCTTTTTAATATGGTGTACGTTTATGATACTTTAGTTAATTGAGGTACATTTGCTGCCAAAGATAACGTAAATAATAATACAGACAGTCCTCAATTTATAACAACTCATTCAGCAACTGATTGATGTTACAACAGCAACAAAGGAATGGTGAGTACCTTGGATTTCTGGCTACCCAAGCACTCTTGTAGTCACATGATTGTAGTATGGGTGTTTGGGAAACCTGTACACATGTATGACTGGTTGCCAAGTGCTCCACAATCACATGGTCGCCATTCCAAGAAAGTCTTCCCCACCAACACACACTACCCAGCCCCTCTGCACTCACATTGCACTGGCTATTCATGCAATTCTCTGCACCCTCCTTGACCTGTACCTCACATATCCTCATGCACCCTCCTCGCTCCATACAGCACTTCTTGTGCACCCCACATACTCTCTCACCCATGTGGCCCCTCTTGCATATACTGTTGTATCCCGTGCATTCATCCTGACCTGTGTCTCTCATGAATGCCAGCACACACCCCTCTGTATGGAGCCTAATTTGTGCATATCATGTCACGCTCTCATGCAGTCTTGCGTATCCTTCTTGACATGGGAGGAATTCTTGCACACACCTAGAGTCCAATGCAGAGATTCTCCCACCTGCTCACCTACCCTCCAGCATCATGCTTCCCACATATCACCTCTGAACTTCCCCCAAACCCACACACCTTGTTCCCCCACAAGAGCAGCTAGTTACCTGCCTTGGTCATTCCAATTTCCTCCTGGCTTGCCCACTGATTGTGGGAAATCGGCAGTTGCCTAACAACTGTGGGATTCAGTTAACAATAGCAATTGGGATTGATATGATTGCTGTTGCTAAGTAATGGAGTTGTGTCACTTTGTGTCAGAAATTCGAGTTTCCATTCTCATTGTAAGTTGAGGACTATCTGTACACTAAAAGAATATTGTAAATAATGTTAGGCAAAAAGCCTAATTAAAATACAAATCTTGGAATCCAAATTTGGGTGTAGCAATATTCCATGTATTGAACTGTGTAATCTAGAAATTGTTTCCAAATAAGAATAAATTATACATCAAATTTAATTTTAGATAGAAAGTTAATTTTAAAAATTAGCATTTATTTTACATATTGAGTGGAATTGACTGTTAGAATGAATTTTGGCATGCAAATATCTTGAGTGATTGCTAGATTTTTCTTCGGCAGTATTGCTAATGTTAGTGTGCTGGTCTGTCTTTTTCTCTTGCAATGTAGCTGTTAGAAGCTAACACCAGATTAAGCCAAGCCAAGTCTCAGCACACACATGAGCTGCAACAGCTGAAGACCCAGATGGACAATACAGTATCTAAGGACCATTTAGTTGAGCTTGAAACCAGATTGGCAGAAGAACAGAAAACAGTCAGAAAGTTGCAAGGAGATCTAAACTTACAGACAGAACAAATGAAATGGCAACTGGCTATTTATCAAGTAAGAAGGACATTTATTTTAGCCCTCCTTTAGGTTCCTACCAAGAATGCAGTTGCTGGTATGATGAATAGAAATAAGCTGCTTGATTTGTTCTACCATGGTTTGTTGAATAGGTCATAGTGAGCCTATTAATACACCTCTAAGGCTTAAACCAAAAGTTACCTTTACTTGCTCACTTTCCAATTTGATGCTTAATTAATAGCTATGTATTTTCTTTATTAATTTTTCATCCATTCCAATTAATATCTGGTCCAATTCTGTTAATTCTTTATTAAAACTATACATTTTAGCATCTTTCTCATATCGAGACTGTATCTGCACTTGTGGCCACCATGCTATATCTATCCCTTGACTACTCAGTTCTTGCTTACTTTTTAATTCTCCCTTTTCATTCAAAATATCTTTATATCTTATATTTTTTCCATATTGATAACATTAGTATGTATCAATGCTTCCATTATACAAAGCCAGACTGGTATTTTCAGATAATGTTGTTCTTTAATTTTTATTCAGACTGATAACAGTGCATTTCTAATATAGTGTCTTTGAAAATAGCTACTGTATCGTATTCTTCCCATACCATAAGAAAACATGCCAACCTAATGGAAGGTCTTATCCCTCTAAAGTTAATAGTCTTTTATGCCTCAGATTAATCCATTCTTTCACCCATGTAAGTACTGAGGCCTGGTAATACAATTATCAACTCATAAAGCACTCCCAATCTGGCAACCCAAAGCCCCCTCTTTTTTGGAATCTTGCAATACTTTCAAGCTTATTCTGGCTTACATGTTATATATAATAAAACAAACAAAAAATTAAAACAAAAAACAAAAGTTACAACTACAATTCATGCAATACACTAAGCTAAAAGTAAACCAGAAACAATGTGTCCTAAAGGTGCTTTTTTCAAGAGACAACTGGATTTTCCTGTTTTTCTTTAAAGACGTTTCATTCCTCACACAGATCGATATTTACATTTTGATTCTCACCACCTACTGGAGCACAAAATGAGAGTTATCGGAATCCTACATCACTGAGCTGAAGGCCTGCCTACCAGTAAATATGAGAAAGGAAAAGAACTAAAACACATCAAGGAAGCCCTCAGTGGCTATCCCGTGTGGGCCTTCATCAAATTCCAAAAAAGATCCAGCAGTAACTCCTCCATAACAGTAAAAGAAGAGAAAAATAAACGAAGCAATGTTGTTATGCCATACGTTGCAAGAATATTTGAAAAGCTCAGGAGACCTTTAGCCAATACAACATATGTGCACACTTTAAAATCAAGAATACACTAAGGCAGAAGATTGTCCACCCCAAGGATAAAACAGCCAGACACAAACTGAGCAATGTGTTATATGCAGTACAATGCAGTGAGACATGTGCAGATCTGTACATTGGGGAAACAAAACCACTTCATAAACACAGGAGAACCAACCCATCAGGACAAGATCCATCAGTCCATCTGCATTTAAAAGACAAAGGCTACACTTTTAAAGACGGCATAATCCACATTTTGGACAGAGGACTGCTGGTTTCAAAGAAGGTTCAAAGATGCCATCTATGTCAAAATTGAATAGCCCCCCCCCTCAAAATGAGGGGAAGGGATACGACATCATATCCAGTCTTTTCAGCAGTTCTAAGGCCCCACACCCAGTTACACTACTCAGGTGAACACGAGGACATAAACTCCAAGTGGCCTCAACAACTGTCTAAAAATAATGCAAATGACCAGCTGTCTGCAAGGAATATAAATCCCTCCATTCCTCACCATCCAGTAAGAGCTAAAGAAGCTTTTTGGATAAGAAGTGAAATGTTTTCAAAAAAAAAAAACAAAAGTCTAGTTATTTCTTGAAAAAAGCACCTTTGGGACAACAATGACTGGATGACTGAGAATCTCCACACAGTAGCAATGTGGTTTCACTCATCCTGAGGGAAGCCTCAGGCTGGTACATTCTCCTTTTCCTCTCCTCAGGAGAAAAATCTACAAATCAATCTCAGTAGCTGCTTTTTTACCAAGATGTTAAATTATGGTTTAATGTGCTGGCAATTGCTTAATAGTAAAGACCCCCCCCAAAAAACTAATGAAAACAGATTGTAGGTACTAAAGCTTGGTTATACAAGGAAACTCAGAGTAACAAATGTTGTGGTTAATGTTTCCTATCAAAAATCACTCATAAATATTTATAATGCAATATAGTGCAGAGGTTTGTGACTAACTTCGCTACTAAATTTGCAAGAATGCTAAATAGCTTAGGCTATTTCTTCTGAAATATATAAAGAATCTTATTAGCAATTTAGCAATCAACAATTATTCTTGGGCCATTCCTTGAACTTTTACTTATGATTAAAATTGTGTTGGGATATACATTACATGCTGCTCAAAATTTATGCTCTTCTTTCTGCAGGAAGAATATGAAAACGCACATAAATTAATGGAGGAGAAGTTGAGGGAAGTAGAGATGAATTTGAAGAATACACAAATGTTGCTTCAGGAAAAAATGTCCCAAATAAAGGAACAAGTGAGTGCAAGGTGGATTTGTTGCTTTCTATAAAGGGAGCAGAAATAGAAATGGAAAAAGTGTTATCTATTGCTTGCAATTTTAAAACAGACAGCTATGCAAACAAAAATTTTCTGGAATGTATTACAATATATACATGATTAAATGACCCTAAAGTATTTGCCTTCCCTCAATCAACAGAACACATTTGAGTATTGAGCAAGCAGACTTCTAACCATTCACTCTACATACTCATATGCACAAGTTCCAAATTAAAGAACAGAGGGTGAAGAATTTATTTCATTACATTTCCCAAACATTACTTCCTTTTAATATATTTCACCTTTTTCTTTGTACCGCCGGTTGAGATATGACCACAACTAGCAAATTTATGTTGCTAAGTGAAATATTTGTTAAGTGAATTTACCCCCATTTTATGACTTTTCTTGCCACAGTTGTTAAGTGAATCATTGCATTTGTAAAGTTAGTCACATGGTTGTTGAGTGAATCTGGATTCCCCATTGACTTTCTTTGTCAGGTCACAAAAGGGGATCACATGACCCCAGGACGCTGCAACCATCATAAATATGAACCGGTTGCCAAGTATCTGAATTTTGAACATGTGACCATGGGGATGTTGCAACAGTTGTAAATGTGAAAAATGTTTGAGTCCCTTTTTTCAGTGCCATTGTAACTTTGAATGGTCACTAACTGAACTGATGTAAGTCAAGGACTTACCAGTATTTTTCAGCCTAAGAAGGCAATGGCAACTTCTGAAAGTCAGGATTGTTAGGTAATTGGCCCAAACTCACCCAGCTGGCTTTGGGCCTAAAGCAGTAATAAAACAACTCCTCTTCCATTTTCCTGCCCATGCTTTTCAACATTACCCCAAAGTGACTCTCATAACTTTGAATTTGATTACTATATATTATTGCTCAAAATTTCATCTGAAGAAATATTTTAATAAGCTGAGAAATAAAGTGTCTCTTTTTCAGAATTTGTAGGGGCATAGCATAATTTCTTTGGGTTACTTTATATGGAATCTCTTCAGAATGAATCATTCTGACAATGAAATTAAAGAGATATTTTAAATTTTTTAGATAAATATTAAACCCATTGTAATCAACTGTTTTGTTATGGGTGTGTTTGAATAGTACTTAATGGAATGTTCTTTCCCTTTTCAGTTTGACAAAAATGCCAAGTCTAATCTATTGCTGAAGGACCTGTATGTGAAGAATGCACATCTAATGAAAATGCTGCAAGTTACAGAGCAGATGCAGAAGAGCACGGAAAATAGGAACTTAATTCTAGAAGAAAAAATTTCATCCCTGAATAAGCTGGTTGGAGAAATCACATTTGCATCTCAATGAATTATTCATTTAAATGAATTGGTTTCGGTTAAACTGTCTTAAGTGGCAATCAGTAGTAAAGACATTAATTGGTCAAGTTGGTTCTACATATTTCAGACTGAATACAAAAAAACTCTTATTCTCAAGAACAGATATTCATCAGTTCAGAGTGGAGAAAATACAAATGCTATTTTTAAAAAATAGAACAATGAGCAAATACATTTTGGGGGAATTCTGAAGATGGGGAAACACAGGGCCGATTTTATTGCAATAAAAATACAATTTTTTTCCAATGGAAACGATTAATCATTTAGTACCTTCTGGATAAATTTCACAGAAAAAGAATGTTCTACACTGTATCATTTGGGAACCAAACATTTATTGCAGTTGCAATTTCTTGTCCCCGTCTGTCTATACACTGGCTAGAGTGTGTGAATGTGTGTGTACGTAAACAAAGTTTTATGCAAGTGTAAAATATTGAATTATGTGGTATATTATTTAAGCAGAACTGTGAACGAGAACCTAATAAACTCCCCCACTCTCTTTTTTTTGGTTTAGGTATCTGGGACATTTTAATTAAAATAGTATCTCTACAGTTTGTTCTCACTTGATGATTTTTAATTGTAAAAATGGCTTTACTAAGCAGACATATATTCCTTTTGCTAGGACGGCAAAAAATATTCATATTCTTTCTCTGACTTTAACGGCCACAGCAGATACTGTGTGTTGTGCCGTCAATGCACTCCTCCTATCTTTAAAAGGAATTTGCTACATTCCTGCTATTAGCATGAAAACATGATTTCACCTGAAAAACCAGTGAGGCTCCCCTTTTCCATCAAAGTTAAAGCGCTATATTTTCATTAAGAACGTTAGACTTATGACTGTCATGTCACTATAGGAAAAATATTGAAATGAATTATGAGCGCGAGAAGGGATTACTGTGTTTGTTACTCAAGGGCTGGGAGAAAAGGGCTGAGCTGACTCCCATCCCCAGCTTGAGTTGATATAGGACCCAAACCTGGATAATAGATTTCAGAAAAAGCAACATAGCTACATTGCTACCAACATTGCCAGCCAGATCTCAGTAATACATCTCAAATCCATGTTCACCATCAAATCATAAATGGATGCCATCTTATTGCATACAGAACTTGCATTTTCCAGTAGCACAAACTCAAAGGCCATAATATTATGCCTAGTAATTAAATCATCCACAAGAAGTGCAATGTTCCAAGGAAAGGCAGACAAATAAGCGGGGGGGGGGATTCTACCAGTTCGGACCAGTTCTATAGAACCGGTTGTTACGATTCTGCACAGTTTGGAGAAAACTGGCAAATCACGCCACTGGCTGGCCCCTCCCCACCCACCCTGGAGGCTTTCCTGAGGCCCAGTGGTGGAGGGAGAAGTGGCCTGAGAGCAGAGCTGAACCTTCCTTCGGATTGAAGCTTCTATTTTTCAGTGCAGACTCAGGCAGCAGATTGCAGAAAGCTAGATCTGGGAGTGAATCTGTGATTCTGCAAGCAGCTCAATCTGCCTGCCTGCTTTGCCTGATTTTGGGTAAAAGTTGCTGTTTTTAAAAAATAAGAAAATCAATCTTTACATACATATTTACAATATTTACATACAAGCCATGCCCAGCCAGTCACATGACCACCAAGCCACACCCACAAAAAAGCATTCTATACATAAATTACTGTTTTTCTTGGCTTCTTGACTAAAATGGAAACATTCAGTTCAACCTGGGAATGTAGAATTTGTACCTTATCTCAAGTCATGCATGCAAGAAGAGAAAAACAACCCCCCAATTTATATTTTATGCACTTATCAAAGAAGGGAGTTGCCAATCTGTGCATCTACACTTGATTTAGATTTTGCAGGGTGATAACAAAGAATAACAAAACTTGAGAAATGCTTATTAAGAAATTGCCCACAGATGCAGCATCAGGAGGATACAAACTCAAACAACTGGGTGAGCCCTAACAGCAGGAAAGGTTTATGTTCCAGAACTTGGCTGCAAGGACAGCTGGGAAAAAAAGAGATAAATCTTACAGCTTGTCTCTCTCCCACTTCCTTGTCTTTTGGAATCCTCATTTCAGTTCTGGGATACCGTAATTAGCAAGGGGAAATCAATGTACTGTATTTGTACTAATTAGAGAGCAAGAGATTACAAGACAGTAAACAAGCACATAATGGGGAACACACACTGAAAGGAATGCTTTTGTGCTTTCTTAGCTCCTGGCTGGAGGCAAAAGGCTGAAACTGATTACGATCCTGCCAATTTCAGATAGTAGAAGCTGGCCCAGGGTGCTAGAAACTAATCAAGGTCACTGAGCTTGTTAACACTAAGGGAGATGCCTGTGTTTACACCTTTAAGGAAAATGTTGTGCTGCAAAGAAAAGCAGTTTAGGAGGAGACAGGTTGTTCAAGCGATCTCTTCCCTCTGCAGTGGAGGAAATTCTATTAAGAGGGAAAAGGAAAAAATAGGAGCTAGGCAAACATGCACAAGACAGGAGTACATTACTAGTTGGAATAGAAACCTAGATACCTTTTGATAATTAAATTAATTTTCCTATTTCAGTCCAGCATTTGGCAGAGTTAGACGGACAGAGCTCATTTTGATTGCAATAATAAATACTTTGGGAACTGTACATCCAAGTTTGTTCTCCAAGAACTCCCATCTTTACTATTTTCTGGGCTGCTTGATTGGAATGAGAATTTATGTTTTACATGATACTTTCAAAAGATGAAATATTTTAATTATTTTTGAAAATCTGTGCAACACTTTCAAAGATGCCTTAACCTGTTTTTTTGTCTTCCTATTGCATTTAACTTGTTTGAAATCATTGAAGTCATGTTTTTTAAATTTGTTTTATTAATCTACATTAATAATGCACATACTTCTTCCTCCATCTAAAATGAAATAAGCTGCTCAAATTGTATTGTTCCGATGTCACTAAAACTACTAAGAAATAGATTATCTTGATTGGTTAAAAACTTACTCTGGAAAATTTTATTATATAACTTTGTGATTTGGGTGGATTCTGCCAGAAATCCACAGGTACTTTTAAGGCGCCCATGGTAACTGAAAACATCACAAAAGTGATTGTAGTCATAACACTTACTTATACTATAGAAATCACATGCAACATAACATTGTATAAAAATATTTAAATATTTACAAAGGATTATTACATGATTTCAAATAGCACAAAGCAATATATAGTAATTACAAATGAATGCGTTATGGAATTTGGTCCATTAATTTTTTTTATACAAAAAGGCCAGCAAAGACCAAAACAAAGTAACTTTAATCTCAAAAGATAACCAAATATAGGGATAACAATTGAAGCAATGAACAAAAGCAATCTACTTGTTTTTGGAGAAAGGTCTTGTAGGTATCACATCTTTCCTCTTCCAAAAATATTATCTGTGTCCTTCTAATAATAAATTTAAACTTATTTTTAGACTTTAAACTTATTTTTTCAAAGAAAACATCAAAGGAGAAAAAAATTATTGACTTTATTTTGAAATCTGCAAAAATATTTAATTTATGTGTATTTTAGCAGTCTTGTAAATACAGCTTATGATAGGATGTGTTCCAGAATTCCTTGCCTGATTAATTGTTCACATTTCCAGCGTGGTAAGAAATGCTAAAGAGAAAAAAAAGAACTTATTGTCAAATCTAAGGTAATACTTGATTGTCTTTTTTATGCACCATCCAAACCCACAAGGCGACATGAAAAGTAACATGAACTTATGTAGGAATTGTCTGTGCTTCGAGTCTAGACACTCAGACCAACATCAGCCTCCAAAGCTTAGCCAATAATTGGATTTTTAAGGGAAAATCCTCAAGGACAGGAATGAGATTTTGTGTAAATTCTTCTGCACTGAAAAATATGGTTTCCCTCAATCATCTTCCAATGAAAAAATATTTAGTTCATAAAGATATAAATGTAATATCCATTCATAAAAACATAAGTTTAATATCCATTCAATCAAAACGAATTTTGCTGGATTTAATATACCATAATTTCCTTCTAATTAAGTATACCTGGAATTACAATTTAAATGCTCAAGGTGTATTAAATGAGGTGGCACAGAGATAAGAAAGAATGGTTTCATAGATGTGCTGTGCCCCAGACTGACCAAATTCTCTTTTCTGCATAACTTTTTTTTCTTATTTATGGGAAATGGAAAGAATACTTTCTGATGCTGCTTGGAATATTTATTTACTAATAGACAACCATAATAATAGATCCTGTCTACTTATAAATACCTGGCTGTTCCTCTTCAACAGAATTGTTGTGCCATCATCAATTTCAAATTCTCCATAATCTTTCAAACACCGAACCTAAAGGAAAAAATAATGAGTAGTGCATACATCATTAAGCCTGTATTAAGAAGTTGTTCTGTTACATAAATTATGCTCTTCTGAGCAGCATAATAAACTAAATTTACTGCACTGATTACATTAAATAATTTTGTATATTTTGAAGTTTAAAAAAATAGTATATAATCCTCAGTTTTACTTACTTCAATGTACAAGTTTTTGGGAGGTTTAATGTCTTGTGTAAGATCAATGCCATCTCCTTCTCCTAATGATCTCATATAGGTAGCCAATGACTTTTTATATTGGTTAAACCAAAGCCCCTAGATATAAAAAGTTTGATTAATCACGAAGTTAAGTACCACTTATACACTGTTAAGTTAGATATCCTTCCAAACTATTAAAAGATAGTACAAATAACAGAGTGAAGTCTGAAATCTCAGAAATTCTACTTAATAACTCAATGAGTTCTAGTTTCTATAGGTCATGTATTGAAAAAAACTACCTAATTGTCACTGAACTTCATTTGAGAGTAAATTTGTAAACAATTGTGTATTCTTAGTGTATCTGAGAATTAAAGGGGATTCCATCTGCCTAATTATATAAAATCTGAATATTTTGAAACATAGTATTACAATAAGGTTCACACATTTCACAATGTTAGGGTTTGTTTGAACTCTATTTTACTGAACAAATCATAATCAGCTATAATTGCATATAAGGCTAAGAATAAGCCATAAATTTTGGTTTATAAAAGCAGTACCAGTTTCCAATTTTTAGTGAAATGTTTTCTCACTGACCTAACTGCTAAGCAGATTTTGTGAAAATTCTATGTTTTAAAAGATATGATTTTTAAATTAATATTTGTAGTTAATATACTCTTCTTATATTCTTATACTTCCAGATTGTTCCCAATCTGATCACACACACACACACACATACACACAGCTTACTTCATCTGCTGACATGTGAAATTGGACAGCATTTGGCAAGACGCTACCATATTCCCACCTAAGTGCCCGGAGGCGAAGTAAGCGGTCATACCTAAATATAGTAACAGTGAAAACATATTTAATTCACTATTTCTAATAGGGCTATGCATCACTTTGGATTTGAAAGAAAAAGAGGTGTTTTGAATTGGGTAGAGTGGAAAATGTAACTTTTCCCATGGGATTCAAAGGAGCTGCAAAGAGTAACTGCACAATCCTAAGGGTGTGGGTGTGGGTGGGGGGAA